AGACACGCACTTTTTTCAAAAACTGGCCAGTCGCCAGCTCGCTGTTTCGAAGATATTTACCATACTCATAGCTATAGTCTCGTATTTTTGGAATATCGCTTTGTCTGATTTACTATTTATTTTTCCACATTTTTTGAAACTGAGTTGATAGTGAGTAGTGCTTTTCTTTATTTATTAACTATGGTTATTTGAGGGCTTGGCAACTATTCAATAAAGAATTTAGACGGTTTTGATAGTAAAATCTTGTTTTCCAAAGTATCTGAGCTCCGTCATTCTCTCTGTCATAATGTATTATATTCTATACTTGATATGTCCTGTGTAGAATCATCCTAGTTCAGTTTTCAGTTTATTTATTGCAATTAACTATTATTTTGGCGGGAGCACACGGTGACTCAGACACAACTACGAAATTGGTTAGAGAAGAAACAATTATCCATTTTGCACAACGTACATCCATTACGTTAACCTGAAAATAGCCAACCTAATGATGCAGCATATAGGCGACTAAAGTGTCATCTATGAGACCCTTTCAAAGTATAGATGATAAATAGAGGAACAGCTGTGACAAATTCTCGTAGATTAGGCTGCTTTATCTCATTTTATCTCGGATAAGTTGTTGGACGCACGTACGTATATGGCATTAGTTTGGCTATCTTCAGATAGAATACGTTAATCAATGGAATATGACAGTAGGGCTTTAAGTCTCATTCTACTGAGACGGGGTAAAGTTTTTATAGGGCCAAGGGTCTTGCAATGAGCTAGGAATAAGAGACGCCAGGATAGTACCGCCCTGGACACATAAGAGCTTCTCATACAGTAGCCTTACCACCTTACCACCTTACCACTTACGTGTCAGGATGGAACGATTGTATCCGACTTAAAAGCCAAGGCGGAAGTACTTGCTAAGGTCTTTGATGCCAACTCCACCATGGTGCCGTCAATTCAAACAGTTCCCTACACTATGCGGGAGGTGACATTCAGGCATAAGACCGTAAGACGAGTGCTCTTGTCGCTCGACATCAACAACGCTTCTGGTCCGGACTTGATTCCCGCCATTGTATTGAAGACTTGCGCAGCGGAGCTTCCTCCAATTCTTTCGCGTCTCTTCCAGATATCTTATGAATCCGGCACCTTCCCAGAAAACTGGATATTTGCTCAGGTCCAACCCATCCCAAAAAAGGATCTAAGACCGACCCTTACAACTATAGGCCCATAGCTCTGCTTTCTTTTATAGGTAAGGTGATGGAGACGTGCTTAAATCGCGAGCTTCTGGACTACCTCGAACCTCACAGCTTGATTAGCGACAGGCAGTATAGTTTCCGGCACCGTCGATCTACAGGAGACCTTCTAGCTTACGTCACGCAATTGTGGAGTAAGCTTATCGAGTCTTATGGTGAGGGTCATGTCGTTGTTCTTGACATCAGGAAAGCGTTCGATCAGCTGTGGCACGCTGCCCTGTTAAGCAAACTCCCATCCTAAGGTCTACCAGAAAAGCTTAGGAGATGGGTGGCTGACATTATCTCTGTCCGTAAGATATCCGTCGTAATTGCCGGGTTCTCCTCTTCATCCCACAACGTCAACGCGGGTGTTCCCCAGGGATCGGTCTTGGCTATTTGTTTAGGTCTAAGAAATACTTTTCTCCGCATGACCTTCTCTCTCTATACAAGGGCCAGATAAGGCCTAGCCTCGAGTATTGCTCACATGTTTGGGGTGCTGCCGCTCCGACTACAGTATTTATGTCCGATTCTATTCAGAGGAGGGCTGTCCGACTGAAACTTGGGTGGGCCGTCGGCGATCTAGCTCTTTTGTACCGCTACACAAACCGGCTTTACTCCTCAGAGCTCTCTTCCATGATGCCGCCGCGCGATGTGCCTGCCAGACAGTCCCGCCTGACTTGGGCCTCCCATAATAACCGTGTCGAAGTTCGTGGAACAATCTACAAGAGGAAGCTTTTCACATTTCTACTAACCTTAGGCAGTTCAAAAAGCGGATAACAAAATTTGTTTGGAATCATCACAGCAGCCGTGGTGTCCCGGCATTTAGGCTTCTGCTCGCGCGACTGCTTCGGTATAAAAAATGGCAGAAGCTTAGTTAAGGAAATAAAACCAACAAGTTATTGGAAAATATAAAAATGAGTTGTTTCGGCAGTCGCGATACTACCGACCCCTTAGCACGCCAGGTGACTGCAGTTTCCGTTGAAGATCGTACTACGTTGAGTTTTTGAATAGTTACTGTGTTTTTAAAGCCATATTTGCTTGTTTCCTTTCTTTCATTTGTCTCAGAATGAATAGATCCATACCGTACCGATGATTGCTGAAAAGCATGAAACAACGTTGTATACGGTTTGTTATGATCACAGAGACGGGAAAACAAATACTCGTAGATCATATTCAGCCTATAATAAAATCGCTTAATCTTTTCTGGTTGGGATTCGCAGACGCCTCTGACAATTAATCATGTCATAATCCTTATCTAAATAGGAAAGCAAGAAAGGAGATTGATTGGACATGCGATCTTTTATCGAAGACTTATGTTTTTATAATGATTTTTAATTTTAGTATTGGTATTCAGCATTGACTAAGAGGGCAACCAACGGTGTTGGTTGGATTCAAAACTTTGTAAATGTCATCTTGGTTGTTCCGCATTCTCCCTGAACACGAAAATACATAAAGCAAAATAATATACAACTAGCAGATTACAAAATATCCAGGTCTCCCCGCATGTAGATCATCTACTTTATTTGAGCTGTAAAGAGCTATAACACACGGCACTAAACGTTGAGAAGCGCACATGAAAGCATGTGTTGGACCATGTGGTATGAGGCTTCAGGCGTCGAGTCACTGCTCTGTGGACTACAATAACGATATAAATCTAATTTTATCTCGCATACTGATCTATATTTAACGTGTGATGCAAGAGGCTGCGTTTTTGTGACCGTCGAACGGATTCCACCTATACTTAACTCCAAGTGGGCACTTATTTATCTCTAGTTTCTCTACGGCAAATTAAAATTTACACTTAACTTGTATATTTCTAGCGCGGCGAAGTAATCTGTTGGCAATCGGTGTAAAAACACTCATAGGTGTGGTGCAACTAATCATTATGACTCTTGTTTGAAAAAGCAGACAAAGTATGTGATTCTGTTTAATACTGTTGTCGGACCTCGATAGCGTACCGCTTTATCCGCACAAAATGTTACTTTCATCATATATTTTCATTCCATTCATCCTTTTAAATTGCATTCCACAGTTTTTGCCGTTCATCCGTCGTCTACTACGAGATTATTTCTTCTTTTGTTGGCGTGAAAATGGATCCTTGTTGTACACCATACGAAATTGCCTTGTTATTGCAATTGCTACTGATTTTAATTGCCAGTTAGGGTTCCTGAGCATCTAGCTAAGCAATGAGTCAAAGTAAAATAGAAGCTATATTTTTATTTGTTGGGGCCAGTTTCACCACCAACCAGTTACATCACGTCCATCCAAAGAATATATCTGTGATGGATCTCGATGTCGAGATGCACCTTTTTCTTGTCCTAAAATTTGTACCCTATGGCTGATAGTCTCTATCTTAATTTACACTACGACGAAATAATTCTCATAGCAAGAGGGTAAGAATATGCCGTAGGCGATAGAGGCTGCTACTGGGAGTTCTGCAAGACTCCATTTTGGGAGCCTTATTAAACATTTCTTATAATAGGGTCTTAATACCAACAAAGATGGTATCAGTGCATTCACTGATAAATGTGCTAGCGATTTAGCAATTGTTATAGCGACCGAGTAAAGGATTCATTAGAAAAGCTCTTGAGTAAGGAACAAGCTTCCGTTGGAATTAGCTCTCCAGATTTGTTTCTGGATACGTTAATTGATGCTATGTTGTGAAATTTGTCTCCAGGCATCATTGCTGAAGCTAACCAAGCAATCTATCTTGTGGGTAGAAGGGTAAAATAGTACATCAAGGTAAGAAATTGTAAACGAGCTTTGCTAATTAAAAAAGGTGGGTCACATTTGGTCATGAAGCTTGGAGTAGAAAACTATCAATATTAGAAAGGTCACTAATTGGAAGCCAGCAGCTGCACATATCTTCACTGGATACCCTGTGCTTTGCAGCCACTTGAGAATAAGGATATGAAATAATATATATACTGTGATTTGCATTGATAAGCAGAATGTTTATCCTCTTCGATGATTAAACGACTAGAGCTTGCGGTGTTGTTTGTTGAGTTACTAATAACCTTATTAGCATTGGTCAGAGAACGGCCCCTCATGGAAATTGGATCATTATGGTGTTTTTGTTGAGTTCTTACTATTAATCCTGTCCTGTATGGAACAACAAAACATACAAAATTGACTCATTACGGTGTTTTTGTTGAGCCTCAGGTCTCAGAACTGTTCCCTGTGTAACACCATACAAAATGGACCGTTCCGGTATTTTCTGTTCAGTCTTGATTAGGATATGAGTAAGTTTCAAAACGGTCTACTAAGGAACTTTATACAAAATTGGATCACAATTCTTCAGTTTTTATTAATCCCACAATATTATAGGCCTCAGGATGGTCCCCTGTGGAACACCATATAAAATTGGATCGCAGCGTCGTTTTTTGTTGAGGCACTATTAACAGTACACTATGACAATGGCTCACTGTTTTACTTTTGTTGGGTTATCATTAATCCTAGAGCATCAGAGGCCGCCCTTGCGGAACACCGTACAAAATTGATCATTGCGGAGTTTCTGTTCAGTTGCTAAATATTAACTCATGAGTAGTATACATTTCGGTACGGTGCAGTATCGGGCACAATTATATCACTGTCGCGTTGTAGATGGGTTAGTAATTAATTACAGAGTATCTTAGGTCTCAGAACGCTTCCCTGTGGAACACATGCAAACGCTGGCGCGCTGTAGTGCTTCTTATGGCATAGCAGAACAGTTCCTTGAGGTACACCTCACTGCGCTTGTGATTGAATAAAGGGAACAGAGGTTTGGACATCAGTTTAACTTACAATTCTCGCTGTAGTCCAAAAAGTCACACTTGCACATAAATCCGTTTGCCCTAGTTTCACCACCGATATATCACCACATACGTCATCATCACAACGCGTCACTAACAGTGTTCCAAGTCCGTCGCAACAACAACGTAGATTCAACCGTAACGTACGTCAACGCGGTCTCACACTATCAACAAGCCGGTTTCAGCCTGACTGAAAGCCGCTAGCCAGGTTGAAGTGACTGGTAGTGCTAATGGGCGGAGCATGTGCTGTTTCCGTAGTGACGGAGGCGCGGCCTAAAGCGGATCGTCGACCAATCGCAGCGAAGAGTGCCCCTTGTTGGTGAGAGGTGATAACTTCCCGTTATCTGCCGAGGCGGAGGCCTCTCGCCTCACTCGCCTTGAAGAGTTGAAGAGTTTTTTTTTGTCGTCATTGGAAGTGGCTAATTGGGAGTTGGCGTGCACGTTGGGAGTTTCTTTTTGCTCCGCATTGCACGACGGGTAACAAAAGGTGCGTTCTTTCCCAATTAGGGCTAGGTAATGAGGATATACTTTAAAGATGAAGAAATGGGAAGGCATCTTATGCATTGTTAAGGACTTCCTAGGCTTACAGGAAGCTCGGGTCTGTGCCTGTTGGCTGAAGGGACCCTATACCAGAGGGAAATCCGCGGCTGAACTTTGCTGTTGGGAAAGATTGAAGTGCTCGAGCGCACAGTGTGTTCCTTTATAGGGATCAGGGACAAAATTCGATATCTTAAAAACTAGTGGTCCTATTTGAATTCTGTAAACGTAGGGCGATTACTTATTTAAGTAGCTTTCTAAAGTATGACAAAAATTATTTAAAATAATAAGAAAGGGTGGGGGAGCAGGCGTAATGCATTTCGCATAAATCGTTTTTTTTTGTAAAAGTCAAAATATTAAGTTGATGATCTCGAATAAATTGGGATAAGGTAGGATATTATTATAGCATTCTTAAGAGAGACAAAAAAGTCACGCTTTTATTTTTCAAGATCTTTACCGAATGATTTAAAAGATAATGTAGCCAACTTGTGATTTATTAAATTTGTCTATCTATTTGAAAAAATAATAAGAATAATTCACATAAAAAATAAATCTGTATAATTTGAAATTGACATTTAGGTTTTTATTTAAAATAATATATTTAACAAAATAACAATTACTTAGTAGGTAATGTATGAAATAATAATATAAACTATATTAAAAAAATAACACCAAATATACCCATTCTAATCGGAATAGGATTTCTTGCTCGGTGCTGTGTCATTCGTTATTGTACCTAAATCATCATTTTCTTACTTTTTTAAATAGTTCTGAATTGCCTCGTTGCATTTCTTATATTTTTTTTGAGCTCACCTTTCTTTTTGAGGATATAAAAGGATCAGAAGTAAGTAAAAGAACACGCATGAGATCCTTATTCGTATCTGTTCTCGAACATTTTCTGGTGTGAGATAATCGATGTTTCCTAACCTCTTTATGGCGAGCCTCAAGCGCATCCTCCGACAGTTCTCCAATGGGCAAACAAAATGCATCAATTATCTCACGCCCATGAACAAGGACCTTATGTACCGTGTTTGGCATGTTGTTCCACTTATAAAGGTGGAGATACAAATTTCTTGCTTCTTCCAGCAATGACGCAAACTTTTCCATATCAATAGCGCAACCACTAGCTGACACTCCTAAGATGATCGCAAATTTCTCGATTAATTCCCTGTCAACCCATGTGATATCTGAACTTGTTTGTGGATTGTGGAAAAAAATTCTGGCCGTATTGCCATCATTTGAGGAGCCATACCCGGGTTTTGGTTTGTCAACTATTAGAGACAGCTTGGCTCTGAACTCTGCTTGGATTCGTTTTTTGTTTGCTTCGACTATAGCTTTGTTTTCAGGCCCACGAACCTGCCAAGATTTAATTGGCAGGCGGTATCCAATATGGACTAAGCATTCAAAAAAACGAATCCAGCAGTGTAAAGTTGACAAACCAAACCGTTAATTGTCTACGTTAGGAGGACGGTTAATCCCTGCTAACGTGTTCATGTCCTTGGGTGTGGCTCCGCAAATGATGCACTTCATAGTTGAATTTTCTCTGATAGAACGTTTCCAACACTGCCGCCCAACATTGTTAACATCATATCAACTTCAATTATATAAGAGTGCCCTTCTTTTGTTTTAATCAAATTTTCAATTTTTGTTATTTCCTTTTCCGTATTCCGCACTAAATCAGCATTTTCCTTTTTAAATAAAAACTTGATCGGCCTACAATATAAAGTAGATGAAGGGCTCTCATTTTTCCTCAATACCTTATTCGTTTCCATATCAATCAATCTGAGTAGCGTCATTGCTACAAGAAACAGAAATTCGTCGGTGTTTTCTAAATTTCTGCTTATATTGGCTATGCCCAGAACTGCCATCAAATCCCCACTTGCATATCACTTTAGCCGGCAATCTCTCTCTTCAAAATTTATTATTTCAAGGATACTTTCAGCTGTTTTCTGCAAATCAACTTCTGCAGAAATTTTAGTAATAATAAATTGTGAAGGGAGGATAGCATTTTTTCTTTTCTGTAATTCTTTATAACTAGGAAGGCTGTTCTGGGCCTTACCATTAATAACAGACCTAAGTAGCAAATACTTTCTTACGGATATCTCCAAATCTACCATAAGGGCTAAAGCTTCAGCTGTTCATTTGCAGTTCATTTGCAGATCTGTCTGTATATACCTGATTTTGTAAAAGTCGATTCCGAGATTGTCCTACTTTCTGCCATTTTCAACCCAAACAACTGGCTGCATTTCATAATATTACTTTTAAGATGTTTGGAAGGTTCATCTGTTATTATCAATAAGAAATAATATCTTTTCATAAACCACCTGCTTTCTATTTCCTCTCGGTGCTTCTATCCACATATCAATCAAATCTCTATTTCTGACAATAGCACCATGTCCTAAAAAAAATTATAACTCCCTTAGACGTGGCATGACTTGATTTAAACTTTTTATCAAAACTTACTATGGATAGATAAACAATAAATAAAAAAAATTTTAGCGTGATGGGAGGTGATTTTTGTAAAACTCTAAACAAAGTCAAAAGTTTAAAAGAAAATTATAAAAATCGGTAATAGTCACTTTAACTTAAAAAATTATCTAATTATAATTATATTTTAAATAAATCTATACATCAATATAATGTACTTACCAGCCTCATTACCAGCCATATTGGAAAAGTTAAAATATTTAAATATTTCGACACAAAATTTATATCTTTCCCGAGCAATAAAACAGAGAGATTTTTCGCCTTCTTGACAGGTCTCGACATGTCTAACTTTAAAGTTGCTAAAATAGGTAAATCGCAGCCAACTTGATTAAAGTACTATACTTACGTGTTGCAGTGACTATTTATCTATCCAATGGTATAATAAAAGCAACAGAATTCTAATGTCAAAAATTATGGTTTTGAGTAATTTCAAATTCGTTTGATTTTTGGGCATTTGGGGGCTCCTCATCAAGCCGGGACCCAGGCCACCGGCTTTGTGTGCCCATGGGCTGAATACGGAATAGGGAATTGCAAGGTGCAGTCGCAGGCATGTATGAGATTTTGTACCGAGTAGGTATATTGTACGTAGGAGATCATCAAAAACAATAGGTGCTCTTGAGATAATGTTGATTGCAGAGGTCTTACTAGATTGTCTATCCTGCAAGGACGTGGTGATTGACTGGCGCATACATTTGCAATGGCAGGTTTTTGTGATTTTGGAGAGATGGTGTGGCATATATATTTAGCGTGAAGGGTCCCGGTACGAATTGTGGCGTTATTGCTCTTCATTGATTATCTAAATACAAATATGTTGTATGGCTAGGCTCCAAGGAAACGAACCAGTTGGGCCGGATTGTACCTGGAAGGCAAAGACGTGCAGGAAAGCTTTGTGCTTTCAGGTAGAGATATTTTTCATCTTAATGGTGGCATACCTAGAGGAGCTCCAACATAGTACCGAGCGAAATATATTATATGCTCCCACGGTCAAGTAGCCCTGAAGGCAGTAGCATATCTAGGAACAAGTTCAGCCTTGGTTCAGGAGTGCACTACTGCTCTTCGAAGCTTAGCTAGATCCAAAGAAATGACCTTACGCCTGGTACCCGGGCTGGGTGCAAGCAGACGCCAGGTCTACGTAGCAGTAGATGAATTGGAGAAGTGTTGCGTAAGATAGAGGGACAGAGAGAGAGACAGATGACGCCAGGTAGGCGAGGAGATTCATAGCGGGCCTCGACAAACGGCCTGGCTACTGGACAAAGATAGAGAATCGTTCAATCTGCAGCTAGGGGTTCTCCCCGGCCTCTGTAGATTGTACAGTCACGTTTCCCTTCCAAGGGTGAAAGGAGATTCTAATTGCCCCAGGTGCTGATTGGAGGAAGACCAGTCAGCGTTCCACTTTCTGGGCTTTCAAACCGTATATTGCAGCCTCAGGGCTGAGATTTTCGAACCCAAGGAGTTTGATAGTGAAGTTGGATACTCAGCAGAGTGGTCTGGTGTTCGTATACTCGGAGTCCGCAAAAAGAGCCAACAACAACTACAACTGCTACGAGTCCCTTCCCACTTCAGTTGGCCCACTTCAAGATTTGTACCAAAATATGCCTTTATGAACTAAACAATTTATTTTCTCAAAAACATTTCAGATACACTCTAGTCGTAAAAATACATAATATACGTACATACAATATACACAATAAATGCGCGAAGTTAACAAAGCAACAATTGAAAGATTACCATTACCTTTATTTTTTATTACAACTGAAATTCTTTGGGGCATAGTGTTAACCAAGTTTTGGCAAAAATTTGGTGTAAAACAATCCCATATTTCTTGAAGCTTTTGTTTCAGTTCGGTGATTGTACGAGCAGTATGTTGTCGTAGAACCTTTTTCATCTCGTGCCACAAAGTTTCAATAGGTGACAGATCTGGACTGCTAGAAACCGATTTCAAAAGTGGTAACTTATTTTCTTCCGTCCATTTTATAGCTTTTTTTGAGGTATGGCACGCTGCACCATCTTGCTGAAACACAAAATCTTGGCCGGATGTCAAACATTCTTCCATCACTGGTAAAAGCGATTCTTCTAAAATTGCCAAATATTTGTTTGTATCCACATTCCCATCAATAAAATGAAGTTTTCCTACTCCTTTCGATGACATACTGCCCC